TCCTCACTCTGAATTATTTTCGCTTGTTCCACTTATCATTATAAATCCAAAATTATTATCATTTTTTTATTTTTACAGTATTGAACTCTATCCCATCAAATTTCACACCATGTTAAGTAACATTTCATATTCGCCTACTAATCCTATAATTACGCACCCCTTTCCAACATCTATACACCTCATGAATTATTCTATATATGACGCTAATTGTTTTGCTGCTTGACATTTAACTATGATTATAAACACAAATATTTTAACTGCATTTCATACTATTATTATTTCATGTATTCACACCTTTGATCTAATTCCCTCACCGGATGTAATTTCTTAAAAAAACTATATATATATATATATATATATATATATATATATATGATTGTACAGCTTGATAATAAATTCGTTGAAAAGAGTCTCTTCGCTGAATATTGTGTTTTTAGATTTTTCAGGTTCTACGATTATAAATCCATTAACTCAAGCATACAATGGCCAGTAAAGGTAACCAACTAGTGTCAAATATAAACCACTGATTAACTGCCTTCTAGGCTGGAAATCAGCCAAACAACATGGAAAACAAATGGTGAAATTAATGATCACGGATGCACACAATAGGACTAAAAAATACCAGCATATGATTAGATTCCATAAAGAAAAGGTTGAACAGACTCTTAGGCCAGAACATCTGTCAACATTGAATACTGCCATTAAAATATTAAGCGAACGACACAAAGAACGAAGACGAGTCGCCCTCAAAGGAAAACTAGCCAAGATATCCAAACAACCATCAGAAGAAACTCTAAATGATTGTGTAGTAAATCTTTTAAAGCAACCATTATAAAAAGCAGAAGAACGACTTCTTCAGAAAGGACTCAACTGCAATACTGGTGACGCTTCAGTAACAGATTTTTGCGCTTCCTTAGAATCATCACTCTAATTATCAAAATTTAATGAGGAAGTACAACAAGAAATACGTCAATGTATCATACCTATACTCAAACAGAAAAGACAATTCCCAACTTGGCACTGAAGAGCAAAATGCGTTGAAAAAACTGAAGAATAGAAAAGATATATATATATATACTGTATATCAACAGTTGACAAAAAACCCTATACAAACATTAGATAACAAAATCAGAACAACGTTAAATAAACTAAAGAAATCAGGACAAATTACAGAACAAGAGCAATGGCGAATGAAATCTAACGGACCTATTTTACCTCGATTCTACGGTAGATCTAAACTACAGAAAACCGAACATCCCCTTACGACCAATCGTTTTGCCTCCAGGAACACCAACATATAATCTATCTAAAGAACTTTTCAGGAAATTAAATTACCTAATAGAATCATGCGACCATTCTATCAATTCGTCAATCCAATTTTTAGAGAAAATCAAAAACATTCAAGTAGAAGACAATGAAATAATGGTGTCCTTTGATGATGCCACAGCATTATATACTTCAATTAGTCCAAAACTAGCCACAGAAACTATGCAACAACTACTCTATAGTGATGAAAACATAAAAACACAATGTTCAACTTGGATAGAACTCATAAAATTATGCCTTACAACATACTTCCAATTCAATACTCAAATATATGAACAAATAAAAGGAACACCAATGGGATCGCCCATATCAGGATTAATAGCTGAAGCCGTTATGCAAAGATTAGAATTAATAGCTCTACCTATAATTAAACCGAAAATCTGGATACGTTACGTTGATGATACATTTGTAATAGTTAAGAGAAATGATTTAGAATATACCCATAAATTAAAAAACAACATATTTGAAGACATCAAATTCACAAGAGAAGAAGAATTAGATAACAAAATCCCTCTTTTAGATGTCTTAATCAGGAGAACCAACATAGGAGATTTAGAAACACAAGTTTATAGAAAATCAAATACTCAACTATACTAGCAATAATCCTATTACTCACAAACGAAACTGTGTGCAGGCATTGTTTAAAAGAATTCAAACACATTGTAGCACTCCAGAGTTGAAAAGAATGGAGGAAAAGTGCCTACAAACGGTCTTCAAAAAGAATGGTTATCCACAAAATTTCATTAAAAAGTGTTTAAAGTCGAATCAAAACAACAAAAAGAAACCACCATCAAAGACCACAAGAAAATTCATTCTGCCATACATGAGAAATATCTCTGAAATAACAGCTAGAATACTGAAACCGTTTGACATCGATATAGCACACAGGCCAGTCAAATCGCTTAATTCGATATTATGCAAACCAAAGGATCCAACAGAAAAAGGGGATAAAATTAATACCATTTACAAAATAAATTGTATGGACTGCAACAGGCATTACATCGGCCAAAGTGGGCGTCCCCTTCGAATTAGAATCCAAGAACACAAATCAGCCGTGAAAAGACACGATATATATTCTTTAGTATCAATGCATACAGACAATTATGGACATCAATTTGATTGGGATAATGTCAAAATCTTAGACAGAGGAAACACCAAAAGAGCCAGGGAATTCCTAGAAGCCTGGTACTCAAACGAAAATGCGATTAACAAACACGTTAATAAAGACGAAATATACTAACTGATAAAAAATAAATCAGGTGACCAGAAAGTTTGAAATCCAAGTCAATAGAAAATGGTCAATACATATGTAAAGATGGTTACCAGGAGACGCAATTATATCACTCATGAAGAAATTTAAATCATTTCACTTTATGCTAAATATTGCGCTGAAGATGTTGTCCAGAAGGTGGACGACGAAAGCTCCGCAACTAAACCAACCAGCTCAGAGAACACTATTATTCGCAAGGGCTAAATTCCTTTCAAAAGGTCTTCATTCATTCAGCCAGATTAGACTGACTGTCTGACTGGCTTTAACACATAGAACTTTGCACTGATCTGTAGAACTTCGAGTTGCATTCTCGGTTCATGTAGCAAAATAAGCACAACAGAAGAGTCTCAAAAGAGATAATAATCTGAAGTGTGGGTGAGGGAAAAGGAACAGTCATATGGAAGAACAATAGTCTTACTGGATATGATAAATGACAGAGGAGTGAATACATTTGCACCAGCTATCACCGAGATCGATTTTGATCCATGTTACCATCAATTGTCTCCAGCCTCCAATGGTTCTTACCATCCCGAGGACAGGTAGCCAGCCAGTCTATACCTCCCCACGTGGCTGGGTGACTTAAACTAACTGTTGTGGATTCGACTACCTGATGATGCCTTGTTTTGGTTTGACCATCACCAACCACTGGCTCTTCGCCGACCTGGTCGCTCCTATGTCAGTGGCTAACATTGCCCGTCGAGGAACGCGATGCCTACGGATGCATGCGCAATACGTGTCCTAACTAACCATCTCAATCGAAGTAACTTCACAACCTCACCGACTGATCTTCCCTCCTTACCTAACACTCAACCGATACCTGAACTCAGTATCACTCACCCTATTTTACCTAACACGGAAGACAGAACACAGACACCTATGATCAAAGATAGTTATAGCCGGCCCTTCGCATGTCTTCCACTTTCAATGACCATGTCTCACAGCCATCACAGAAGACGAAACGAACTGCAGGACTGTGCAGCGCACACACACTGACACTCGACATCCGCGCACACCACGTTGTCCTAACCTTCTCAATTGAATAACATTTCTTCTTCACTCAGTCCTCTGTCTACACGCCTAACATAAATATTGTTCACCAAATTATACTATTTGTAATAGAAGAGACAGAACACAAACATCTATCGTCAAAGACAGCCAACCTCTTCGTTCACTGTCAACAATAACAATCTCTGACAGAAATAAGGAAGGACAAACTGTCTGTCTGTTTTCGACATAGAACTTTGCACATATCTGCGGCAGTTCAAGTCGCCACACTCCATGTAACACACAAAGCAAGAGAAGAAATTAGGGAAAATGCATAATAATATAGACAGTAAATAGAGGTGTGAGACAAAGGAATAGTAATAACGAAGAATAATATAGTTTCATTGGAAATCATAAGTCACAAGGAGTAGATGCATCTGCGCTGTCATTGAGAACGATTTTGAGCCATGTCACCAATTGTTTCCAACCACTGGTTTTTACTGTCCCGAAGACCCCAACCAGGAAGTCTACACCTTCCTACGTGGCTCAGACTAACTGTTGTAGTTTTCAATGACTGGTGCCATGTTTTGGTTTGACCGCCGTAGCTCTTTTCCAGCCTGGCCCTACGTCAACTAACATTGTCCATTGTCGAGGAAGGTGATGACTAGGCATGCGTGTGTAACACATGTCCTAACCATGTCAGTCAATGTAATTTCACAGCCTCGTCGACTGATTTCCCTTCCCTCCTTACCTAGCACTCGACGCCTAACCTCAATATTGCTCACCTTATTAAACCACTTCACTCGGGAGATAGAACGCAGACACCTATGATCGAAGACAGATAATCTTTTCATGTCTTCCACGGTCAATGGCCAGGTCTCACAGCCATAAAGGAGGACGGAGTGGACTGTTGAGCAGTACACACTCCTTTTGGTCGATAGTCGGATATCACATCTACGCCAGAGACGGCGTAAACTGGTATATGCGAAACTAGCCCTCTGTATCCGTGCTGAGATTTCGTCAGAGATCAACCTGTTGGGGCTGATGGTACTTCCCAAGTAAGTGAAGCGGTCAACGTGCTCTACCACTTCACTCCCTATTTCTACGCTTGGAGTCGGTGCAGTCCAATCCTGCAACATCATCTTACATTTTACAGGGGCGAATCGCATGCCAAACATACGAAGATTGCAGCTCAAGGTGTTCAGAAGACTCTGCTGGATTTTGTCAGCGTCCTCGCCTAGAAGGACTATATCATCAAAGAAGGACAGAGTGTGTGAACTGTTGTGCTGCAGTCATTTGGAATCTACACAAATCACATCATGATGAAGACAAAATGTGAAGGGAAAAATAGTGAATGTTTTTTATTTCTTCAAAAGATATTTACAACAGTTTTAAAAAAAAAGAATGAAGTTAATACATTTACAAAATGAAAGAATCATTTAACTCCATTGCAATATCTGATGAATATATTTCAGAGTAAAAGTTAAAAAAGATAAAAATATAAATACATATATACATACATACATACACAAGTGGAAGAAATGCCTATCGTCGGCTGTACAGACTATACACACACACACAAACACGCACTTAATCTGATTCAACAATATCTGCGTGTATTCCAGCCGCTTTTCTTGCTAAATAACGTTCTCGAGCAGCAGCCAATTCTTCGTCAGTAGTTACACGTGGACGAGCCAGCATAACATGCGCTGTACCCTTTTTACTTGCATAAGCGCTATTACCGCCTGGTTTCACATTAGTTTTCGGTGGGGGATCAGATCTACAATAAAAAAAAATATATAAAACAAAGGCTGGTTAGAAAGTAGTAGTATTTATTAGATGAACCATGCTTCTTACTGTCTGTCCGTTTTCGACATAGAACTTTGCACTGATGTGTAGCAGTTTGAGTCGCCAAACTCCCTTTATGTAGCACACAAAGCAAGAGAACAAAGCAAAAGGAAATGCGAAATGCTGCTGCTGGATTCAACATAGAACTTGGCACCGAAGTGCAGCAGTTCGAGTTGCCACGTTCCAAATACCACACAAAGGTAGACAAGAAAATGAATGAAGAGAATCAATAGAGTTTTGACAAGTATAAGAGTGAAACAGAATGAGTAATGGTAGAAAGGAATATGAAAGATTACAGAGACTGAATACATCTGCGCCATTGACAACGATTTTGAGCCATGTCACCCTATTGTCTTCAGCCATTGATTCTTAGAGTCCCGAGGGCCCCAACCCGGAAGTCTGCATCTCCCTACCTGACTCAATTTAACTGTCAAGGATTTCATGGATTGATGAGGCCATGTTTTTCTTTCGCATGGCACCACTTACTCTTTTCCAACCTGCACCTATATCAGCTAGTAATGCCCGTCCGTCGGGGGAGGCGATGGCTAGGCATGCGTAGCACGTGATCTAACCATCTCAATCTATGTAACTTCATAGCTTCTTCGAGTGATTTTCCCTCTTTGCCCAACACTCTACGCCTAACGTCAACATTACTTACCTTATTATACCACCCAACGCGAGAAAGAGATCGTAAACATCTGTGGTCAAAAACAGACAATCTCTTCATGTCTTCCGCTCTCAATGGCCACGTCTCACCGCCGTAGAGAAGGAAGGAGCGAACTGCTGAGCAGCACACACGTCCCTTGGTTGATAGTCGGATGTCACGCCTACGCCAGAGACGGTGTAAGCTAGCAAAAGCAGTTCGAGCTGAGATTTCGTCACCAATCAATCCGTTGGTGCTGATACAATTTCCCAAATAGGTGAAGTGGTCAACATGTTCTATCACTTCACTCCCTATCACTAAGCTAGGAGTTGACGTAGTCCAGTCCTGTAGCAGCATCTTACATTTCACAGGGGCGAATCGCATGCCAAACATACGAAGATTGCTGCTCAAAATGTTCAGAAGACTCTGCATTTTGTCAGCGTCCTCTCCTAACAGGACTATGTCGTCTGCGTATTCTAAGTCTATAAGACTATTCCCTGGTAACAAGTCGATTCCTAAGTCGTTAAGTTCAGTTAAGGATACTTCCATTAGCATATCTATGATGAAGTTAAACAGAAAAGGGGAAAGTGGACATCCTTGACGGACACCACTGGTTGTTGTCAATTCAGATGACGATTCCCCATTAGCCCTCACATGGCTACGTGAGTTTGAGTAGAGTGCCTTGATTAGTGCAATGTACTTTCTTGGCACTCCCTTCATAGTCAAACATTGCCATAGAACCTCTCGATCCACGGATTCGAAGACCGCCTTCAAGTCAAGAAATATGGCAATTGTTGGACGCCTAAAAGTGTGTCTATGTTCTAGGATATGTCGGAGAGTGAAGATATGATCTATGCACCCTCTACCTGGCCTAAAGTTCGCTTGATTTTCCCTCGTTTGTTCCTCCCGAGTTCGGCTTAGTCTGTTCATGATTACTGAGCCTAGGATTTTAGAGACTATGTTCGTTAGGCTGATTCCTCTGTGATTATCACATGAGGACTTGTCTCCCTCCTTGAATACTGGTATAATAAGTGACTTACCCCAATCTGATGGAACCGTCTCTGATTCCTAGACGTTACCTAATACCTTAGTTAAACTATATACTAGTATGTCACCCCCATATTTAAACACCTCCGGAATAATTCCGTCGGGTCCTGCCGCTTTGCCTCGTTTCAAATTACAGATAGTTTTGGTGACCTCACTTACAGACGGCGGGCCAGTGTTTATGTCCCATTCGGGTGTGTGCTGGATGGCGGGGAGAAAATAGAGAAATAGAGACAGTAAACAGAGATATGAGACAAAAGGAATAGTAATAACGAAGAATAATATAGTTTCATCGACTATTATAAGTCACAAGGAGTGGATGCATCTCCGCCAGCCATATCACCGATTGTCCCCAAATTTCATTGGTTTCTACCATCTCGGGGACCCCAATCAGACAGCAGTCTACACCTTCCTACGCGGCTTAAAGTATCTGCTGTGGATTTCACTGACTGATGAAACCATGCTTTGGTTTGACCGTCGCTGGCTCTTTTCCAACCTGATCGATCCTATGTCAGCTAGCATTGCCCGTTGAGGAAGGCGACTGATGACTAGGCATACGTAACACATGTTCTAACCATCTCAGTCGATGTAGCTTCACAGTCTCATCGATTGATTTCCCCGCCTTACATACTACTCGACCGATGTCTAACCTCAATATTGCTCACTCTATTATACCACAACACCTAACACGGGAGACAGAACACACGCGCCTATGATCAAACACATCTACCTAGTCTTTTCAAGTCTTCCCCTCTCAATGGTCAAGTCCCACAGCCATTAAGGGGGCGGAGCGGACTGATGAGCAGTACACACGCCATTTGGTCAATAGCCAGATATTACGTCTACGCCAGAGACGGAGCAAACTGGCATATGCGAAACGAGCCTTCTGTATCCGTGCTGGAATTTCGTCAGCGATCAACCCATTGCATCAGCCCCAACGGAAATAATGCAAAACTCTGTCTGTCTACTGTCACCAATGATATTCCTGATCATGATGTATTTGATGATGCTGTAAAAAAACAACCATGGCGAACAATAAGACGGAGAAATGTTGATCTGACAAAAAAGCATTAAACCCTCTGGATTCCATCGATAATCAATATTTAAGGTCACACACACACAAAACTAGAAGATCTGCAGATGAAAATTAACAAGTTGGAAGAAGAGATAGCTGGTGGAGTCAGGACTAAGGAGAAGACGGAGGCGATGAAAGTAACCAACTAACAACAACACGCACCTGTGAATTTCTCCCGAAAGAAATCCGAAACGATAATCCAAACTATATTGATTTAACCACACGTAGAGTGACGTGTGAAGTCCGAAATACAGGATATTCTGCAATACGGTACTTTATTACATAAAAATAGATATATAATATACAAACCTCAAAATGTGAGGTGTCTGTGGCTAAATGCCGTCAAATGCACAACCACTGTGCAGTCAATAAGTAAAAACAGCAATGCTGTGTCAAGGTCGATCCACGTGTCGGCTCAAACGGCCCGCGAATGCCAAGCAAAGAATAGACAAATATGAACAACCGACTTTCAGTAGTAAAGCATACACTATAGGGTAAGGTGAGCAAATAATGTTTAAGGCGAAGAAAAATAAGAACTATACATTAATAGGATGATAATAGAACAAGTAATTTAACTGCAGTTGTAAGCAAATGTCATTGTTATAAATTAACATATAAAAATCATACTACTTACTAATGGCAAGTAGTATAATGTTGGACAAAGGAAAGATTGAGAATGAACAGGTAGGAAAGGAATTAACACCGCCCCCTCAAAACCAGCCTGGTTTTCCTTACTCTACCTGCTAGTAAGACACAGAAATGGTACAATTTACTCTCGCCACATCTGCATCCACTATCCAGCTATATATCCTACAAAGTGCTTATCTCTCCTCAATACCTTCTAATAGGCAAACCTTACGCACATCTCGGTTGATTATACCCCTCGGTGTCATGATATCCACTTTTCTGATATACCCATCACAGCTTGCCGTAACACCTGTAATTATTCCCATTGACCAACGATTACGAGGTGAAGGCTCCGCAGTCACTAGTACTAGGTCTCCCACTTGTAAGTTTCGATGTCGTTGAACCCACTTTGCACGCGATTGTAAGGTCGTCAAGTACTCCCGCTTCCACCGTCTCCAAAACGCATCGGCAAGGAGTTGCCCTTGTTTCCATCGTCGTGAATAACGTCCACATAAACCAACATCGATTTCAGGAACCTGTTCAGGATTTCTTGGTAAGAGAATATGATTTGGTGTCAGCACATCCAACTGACTTGAGTCATCACAAACAGGTACTAGCGGCCTACTATTTAGTATCCTTTCTACTTCTGTCAAATAGGTCATGAGTGATTCATCTGTGAGGACTTGCTCCTTCGAAACTGCGCTTAACACTCGACGGACGCTTCCGATCAACCTCTCCCATACTCCGCCACGGTGGCTAGCATAAGGTGGATTTAACTTCCATTCTATACCACGATTTGTCATAGCTCTCATCATACAATCACTGTCTAATTGTGGCACAACTTGCTGTAACTCACGATCAGCCCCCACAAAGTTTGTACCCCGGTCACTGTATATCTCCCTTGGAGTCCCCCTGCGGTTGGTAAAGCGTGAAAGCATCATTAGGAATGAGTCGATAGAAAGAGCGTAAGCTACTTCTAAGTGAACCGCTCGAGTCTTCAAACAAGTGAATATGCATCCATATCTTTTGTCTGTAGTCCGCCCCCACCTAACGATAAAGGGGCCGAAGTAATCTACTCCGGTGCTAGAGAATGGAAAATCTGACGTGACCCTTGCTATGGGTAATTCTGCCATCAGTTGTTCAGTAGGTTTTGCAGACCTGATTCGGCAACCGATGCATTTATTCACCACACGCTTAACTACTGCCGCTCCTTTCAATATCCAATATTTCATACGCAATGCTGACAAAAGATGGGCTACTCCCATATGTCCTTCAGTCTCATGATAATAACGAACAATAACCTCCGTGACAGGATGAGTTCCTGGCAATATAACCGGATGTTTTTCCGAACTTGACAATTGACTATTATTCAGTCGTCCGCCGACACATATCAAGTCACCTAAGATGACAGGATGCAGTTTCTTGATACGTTGAAGGAGTGGCTTGTATTTACTATCCAAATAGTGTTCACACATAACTCCTTTGATTTTACCGGACTCTTGTTTTTGCACGTATGTAAGGATATCTTCCTCTGCCTCTAACA